GTTCCAGGTTTTATCCAGCAGCCCAACAAAGCCTGGTTTTAGTTTAGAAAACATGCAAATAGAAACGGATGAACGGGTCCCCCCCTTTGGAATGGGGGTCGTTTCGTTTCTTTGTTAGCCTGCAATGCCCCATACCTGACTATGTCTCTGAAAGGGGGGTCGTTGGAGGGAATTGTTGGCCTGGATAACAGGTGAGGTCTTCTGTTCTCCTGTAGAGGGGTTTGTTCTGTGATGATGTTGGGAAGGAATCAACTCAATTGCTGCATTAAAGGTTTTTGAAAGCTGAAATCTGAGTCCACCCCCTCCGTTTAAGGTTGTTTTTTCTTTCTTAACATAGATGCAGGCTAACAAAAGAAGATAAACGACCCCCAACCACCTATTTTCTTTGTCCAAAATGTGAACATTCTGGTCTTCAAAAGAATGACGGTTTTCCATAAGGTGTAGATGTACAGCAGAGTCTTGTCCAGAGGAGGGCGCTCTTCTGTGTTGGGCCATGCGTCTGTGGAGAGGTTGTTTGGTTTCTCTAATATAAAGATCAGAGCATTCCTCGCTGCATTGAACTGCATCCACCACTCCGCTGCATTCTGCCTTTTTACTCTTTGGAATTTAACATTTTCCAACAACATTTATTTTTCCTCAAGTATTGATCAGGGTTCTTGGCAGCTTATTTCTGCATAACAGGCTCTTATTCTATCTGCCAAGCTGGGTAGCAGTTCTTTGGCTGAAATCTGGGCTCCCTTTCAGCAGGATGTTTAAAGGGGCTACTGCACATGCTCTGTGTTTCTGTTCCCGGATCCTTTCACTCTTTTCCACCTTGTGGTCAGCTGCAAATGCATTGCTCCTCTGGAACCAATAAAGTCCTCAATTCAATTTCAACTCAGTTGAATTCTAATGCACACTTTGAGTTTCCATAAATGTTTATTATTGCTTCTAGATGTCTTATAGTAGCTGCAGGTTTATAATACACTTCGTATTTCAACACTATTCACAATAAAACAGAAGCTTTACAGCACGTAGTTATATATACTGTAGTATTTCAAGGAAAATACTGCTCTAAAGCATTTTTGATTTAAAACAGTCTCTTTTGTCCTGTTGACAGTTCATAAATCTCCTCCTACGCTGTGACTCCAGATGCTAAACATTCACAAGCTAAAGTGGTTCATCCCTGAAAGATAAATCCTTTTTTGTCTCATAAAGGTTGCCGTTTATCACTGAAGGATGAACTAACTGCACCGAGAGGGTTAGATGTCAGATGTATCGGAAAAAGCCTCGAAGCTGCACAATGCAACTCCTTCACAACTCGTTTGTTCCACTTTTAGCATAACACATATTAGATATTATTTACTGTGATATTCTCCTGGAAATGGTTCAGTCCAATTCAGCAGCTCCCCTTTATCCTGATGTCTCTTCTCTGAGTCCACTGCTCTCAACTCTTCAGAGACCTTGTCTACTGCAATCACCATCCGTCTACGTCAAAAGCAAGAAATGGGGCAAACATGCAGAGAACAGCACCTCACAGGGGACTGGGCCCTTCACCCATGTAAAACAAGACTATCTGTCACCACGGACAATCGCTACACCGATCAAGAACAGAAGCAGAAGACCAGTGTGGAGGAGTTAAGGGCCACTTGACCCCTTACGGTTACAGCATCTAATGAGGTCAGATATTGACTATCGGCCATGCAGCACCTGCTATTTTTCTATCCATGCAATTTATCCTAACTGGGACTGCAATGATCAACGCTGAGAGCAGACTGTGTGTTCTTGCGTTTGTGTTTTAATAAGCTCTGTAGGGGAAACAAGTCGTGAACCTCCATGCTTGCGCTGGGTAATTGTTACTCCCTGTCTAAGCCAGCTTTACCTCCTATTTTCTTCTTTTGTGGTTTGGCTCCGCCTTGTGACATCTTGTTCTTTGTAATTTAAATCTGAGTGACATTAGCTCCTATTATAAGAAATATCAAAAAAAATATAGCAATATGATAACACTGAAAAAAACTGAAAAAAGAAGGATCCATATTAAAGTCTAATCTAAGAAATATAAGCATTTTAATCTCTAATCTCTTAATTTCTAACCAAGGGATAAAACATATGCTTTTATGCTTTTTTTTCACTTTTTCAGAAGAGTAAATGCTGATGTGTTCCAGATGCCTCCTGCTCGCCTCCCCTGGGAGGTGTTCCAGGCATGCCCTGTTGGGAGGAGGCCTGGTGGAAGGCCCAGGACACGCCGGAGGGATTATGTCTCTGAGCTGGACTGGTGTCACCTCAGGGTCCCCGGGAGCAGCTGGAGGAGGCGTGTGAGGAACGGGAAGTCTGGACAACTTTGCTTAAACTGTTGCCTCAACAACCTGGCCCCGGATAAAGCTGAGAGAAATGGATGGATGGTTTGTAACATAAGATCTGATGTAGTGAACGTTTATCTCACACGGACTGATCAGCTGCTGCGTCCTGAATGCAAGCGTTAAAATGACACTTCGATCGCTAATACTGGCCGACATGAAAAGTAATTCCAACTTGCCCGATGCTAACACATTCATTAAAACCCTTACTGATCTGTGGTCTGCACTAGCCTGCTAATTCTACTTCATTTTATTACCAGAGGTGTCAACAGTATTCATGTTTATTGCTCCAGTAGAAGAATAAATCCCACCATTAAAAAACACTTTTTAGTAAAAGTGTAAAAGTACCATTTTTAAAACGACTTAAAGTATAGAAGTATATTACTCTAATATAGCCCAAGAAAACCCTATTAATGCATATTGCCCGACATAAACTGGATTATGCCAGTAGATGTTAGCGTTAATGAGTGATATAAACTGAAACACTCTTTCATTTAGAGATTAGAGGGATTTTATTCTGGTTTAGACCTAAATGAGGTCCTCTTAAATCCAACTGAGGTAATAACCAAATATAAATGAATATAAATAAAGGGATGTAACTCTGATTAATATTATGTCCAGTGTTTAGAATAAAATAAAAAAAAACTAGATTTTTTAAGACCGTTACTGATTATGTTGTCGAACCGATTCCTGATATGTGCTGCCGATATTTTGGGACCGATTTTTAGAAACGATGTTTTTATTTATTTTATTCCTCTATTTGCATGATAAAAGAGACACAATGACACAAGTCTCAGTTTAAACAGCAGTGAAACATTAAGAAATAAATCAAACACCACATTATCGAATGCAAGAGTTACGATGCATAATTAGCTGATTTCAAGGTGTGGCTTATTGGAGGCTTATTAGTAGAAATCCTACTGTTTGAAAACACTAAGTTAGAGGATTAACTTGTGCTTTATACTCCAGTAAAAGTGTAAAAGTACAATTTTTAAAACAAGTAATGCAGGAAAAAATGTTAAGGACAAAAGCTTTACTGCGCTACCTTATTAAAGGAACATTTTTCTACAATTATGGATGATAACTTCCTTAGACTTTATTTTCTTAGTTTTATAACTAATGGGACCAGAGTGAAAATTTCATTTTGCATCATCTTGAAAAACTTTTTATTTTGGTATGTGGTGAACAACAAGTTGGGGCAGCACCGAGTCTAACTATAAAAAAATTAATTGTCTGGATGAAATTAATTATTTTGATGGTTTTTATTTTTTATGAAACAAAAAAACTAACAAGTCTATTTTTAAAATGTAAGGAGTAGAAGTAACAAGATGTCTTAAAAAAAGAATTACTCCAGTAAAGTATAGATAGCCAACATTTCTACTTAAGTACTGAAGTATTTGTACTTTGTTACACCTCGTTTTCTTAATGCCACGCATGATCCAACCATTTGATGAAACGACGTTCTGCATTGCCTGGTTAACTTCCTCCAGTGGATGGAAACACTTCTAATTAGCTTTTTTTTGTAGACATTTTTAAAAGTTGCTTTTACATGACATTTGGATGGAAATGTAGCGATTGTATAAATCAACAACTAATAATAACAGTAATAGAGATGTAGAATTGAACTGTATAGATCCAGCCCAGCATATTTATATAACTACACAAAACAGAGTACAGTATTTCTGAACTCCGTTCAACAATGCAACCCTTTGTGGGACAACTTAAAAAAAACACATTTTTTAAAATTCCGGGTTTTTGTCCTGGAGGGTAGCCTTTTCCTGCATCTCTTCCCCCTCTCTATTACTCCATTTCCCATTTATACCTTCAAATTAAGGTTAATTAGCCAAGAAGAAAAAGGGACAATAAGACAGAGGGGGCTCCCAGTTCTACTAAACTCTAGAAACATTAGGGTTTCTCATGCACTTAGAAAGGAGAAAGGAAGGTGAAGTGAATCAAAATGAAAACAAGCACATTCTCAACAGGAAAAGGGGAACTGAATGTGAGCATCCTGTTCACAGATCTCAGCTAAAGTCTAAATCCAGCTGCCTGCTACATTCATCCAGTCCATAGTGCATCACAGCATCATAGATGCAGCCATGTTTCCATGTTTAAGCACATTTTGAAGTGTGAAATTTAAAAAAAGCTGATGGATACGGCAAAATGTGAAATTCCTTCCAAATTTTGGCAAAAACATTTTACACTTGTTTTTTTTTTTTTTTTAGCTTTCTTTAAAAAAAATATGTTAAACACGAAATGGAAACACTTCTGCCAAAAAAAGTCCTGATGGAGCAAACATTTAACTCACAGGACGGATGAGCTGCTCATGTCTTCCCAATAGAACAACATGGCGTTCTCTAGACATCATGGATAATATTAGTTGGCATGATGGCAACTTAGGCTTCTGATAAATTTCTGCTTTAAATAGCCTGGTTAATTTGCTACAAACCTGTAAATGAAAACCGAATATTATTATTTTATTATTCTTTGCTTTGTTTTTATTTTAAATTATTGTTTAAAAGTTTGCTCAAAATTCACATTGCAGTTTATTGGAAACATAGAAGTGTTACTGCCGAGCAATCCCTCTCCAGTCAGCTCTAAAGTTAGATTTATTTCTCTTGATAAGAAAACCGCCAAAATTTGCAAAATGAGGTTATAAAGTAATCATGAATCAATGGGGAAAGAGACCATAGGGATCAATTCTCATCACTATAAATATGCTCCCTAGTGGTAGAATTACACTGCTCAAAAAAATTAAAGGGACACTTTGAAAACACATCAGATCTTAATGGGGGAAAAATCATGCTGTTTATTTAAACTGATATGGACCGGGTGATGTGTTAGGAACAAAAGAATGCCACATCATTGGATGAAAATGAAAATGATCAACCTACAGAGGGCTGAATTCAAAAATTATAGTGAAAAATGATGCAGCAGGCTAGTCCATTTTGCTGAAATTTAATCGCAGCAACTCAAAATGGTATTCAGTAATTTGTATGGCCCCCATGTGCGTGTGTGCATGCCTGGCAATGATGAGGCACGCTCCTAATGAGACGACGGATGGCGTCCTGGGGTATCTCCTCCCAGATCTGGACCAGGGCTTCACTGAGCTCCTGGACAGTCTGAGGTGCAGCCTGGCGGCGTGGGATGGATGGAAACATAATGTCCCAGAGGTGTTCTATTGGATCTAGGTCAGGCGAGTGTGGGGGGGGGGCAATCAATGGTATCAATAGAACTGCCTGCAGACTCTCGCCACATTGTCGTGCACCAGGAGGAACCCAGGACCCACTGCACCAGCATAGGGTCTGACAATGGGTGCAAGGATTTCATCCCGATACCTAATGGCAGTCAGGGTGGTGTTGTCTAGCCTGTATAGGTCTGTGCGTCCCTCCATGGATATGCCTCCCCAGACCATCACTGACCCCCCACCAAACCGCTCATGCTGAACGATGTTACAGGCAGCGGAACGTTCTCCACGGCTTCTCCTGACCATTTCAGGTCTGTCACATGTGCTCAGGGTGAACCTGCTCTCATCTGTGAAAAGCACAGGGCGACAGTGGTGGACTGGCCAATTTTTGTGTTCTGTAGCAAATGCCAATGGAGCTCCACGGTGCCGGACAGTGAGCACAGGGCCCACTAGAGGACGCCGGGCCCTCAGGCCACCCTCGTGGAGTCTGTTTCTGATTGTTTGATCAGAGACATTCACACCAGCGTTGTTTCAGTGAAATAAAAATAAAGTTTAATTCTATTCTGTGTTTTGTAAAGAAAATAATGTTTAAATCAATCATTGAACATCACAGTTTCTTTGTAGGAACATCAAATGGGCAGGTAAAAACAACATTTCATTTTCCTTTGTGATAAATAAAGTGCCTTTAGGTTGAATAGAATCAAGTCAGAAGTATTGTTACATTCTTTACAGAAACAGATCAGTTATTATTTATAAATCACCAGGAACTCAGAAAAGAAGGTTATGATTTTAACAGCAGCTGATATGTTTTTTTAAAACTCCAGTTTAACTAAGGCTACACCAGTGGATACAAGGCACAGGTCAGACACACTGCTCCCTTAATTAAAATAAAAAGACATTTCATAAAAATCTGTAAAGATATCAGCCTAGTAATTGTTACCAAGCCGTGTCCAGCAATCATAGTAATAAGAAAGTAAAATGATCTTTGTCCAGAGATGAAAGGATTTCAGCAAAATGTGCAAAAAAACGAAATTAGGAAAAGTGATTTACATTTTAGTACTAGTTTATCTTCAAACAGTTTTCATTTGAACCTGAATCATCTGTGTTTTATTGGCTGGAAGGATCTGTGTAAAGGTCGGACTCACGTGGTCTATCAGCTCTTTAACCATGCCGTTCCACTGGCCCGTATTCTCATCCTGTGCTCCGTATTTTCCATCCTCCACCAGACGGATCTCGTATGTAAAGCCCAGGATGTTTGCCAGCTCTCTCAGTAGGTCAATGCAGTAGCCTTCAAATCGGTCGTTTCCATACAGTGGAGTGTCAGATTTCTTGAACATCACATATGGCTCCTCCTGTCAGGAAAAACAGTGAAAGATTAGTCCCTAAAGCGCTTGGCATCTCACACATGCTGTTATGGCCTATCTAAAGGGTTGTTCGACATGGAAAATGGGCTTTAAAGCTGTGCAAAGTCAAAAAAATCTAACTGTGTTGGCTAGTAAAGCAACTTAACGCCTGCTGTGTATATGTGCTTGGCAGGAGACGCTCCTATGATGTGAGGTAGGGTGGTTGCAAAGTGAAGCATGACCATAATAAGAGATAATCCCTCCAAATCAATGACTCTGTGCTCCTCTCAGACACAGCAGGCTAGCTTTGGTCCCAGGTCCCGCTTTCGTGAGACCACACGCCTTGTCAGTCAGATAAGAGATGTTGATAGATGGACACAAAAGGAAAGAGCAGGAGCTTTCATCCCCTCTCCTCACATGGACAGCTGGCTCGACTGCTAATGTCTTTTTTCCTTCCGCTTCCTCCAGTCTTCTAAGAACCTCCTCAGCTATGTTCTGTTTTTCTTCCCTTCAAGCTTCCTTTCCTGTAACCTCCTCCGCATGCTTCCTCTTCATTTTACATCTGCTGCATGCGCCATCTGTCTCTGTTAGCCTTAGACCTTCATTCTAGGAAACTGTCCCTCATTTCTATGACTGCCTTGTCTCTCCCTGACAATAAATCAGAAAACAGATCACCAACCAGGTGTTGTTTATCATGGAGCTGTGCATTACTGAAGTAAAAAAGTTGCAGAGCTCAACTGAATTTTCTTGTTGAAGTAATCTGTTAAAAAAAAAACTTTAAAGTAAGCTAAAAAAGCCACCAGGGTCTTTTTTATCACAAAATGCCAGAAATAGAAACCAGGGAATAGAAAGAGTGTGCCCAAAACTGTATTTCTTTTTGTTTAGGTTAGGTTTAATTGTCAGTTGTTTGTGTTTGTTTTTTGGTTTGGCTAAACCAATATATACACTGAGCAGAATTATTAGGCAAATGAGTATTTCGACCACATCATCCTTTTCCTACATGTTGTCCTACTCCAAGCTGTATAGGCTTCAAAGCCAACTACCAATTAAGTAAATCAGGTGGTGTGCAGCTCTGTAATGAGAAGGGGTGTGGCCTAATGACATCAACACCCTATATAAGGTGTGCTTAATTATTAGGCAACTTCCTTTCCTTTGACAAAATGGGTCAGAACAGAGATCTGACAGACTCTGAAAAGTCAAAAATGGTCAGATGTCTTACAGAGCGGTGCAGCAGTTTGGAAATTGCCGAGCTTGTGAAGCGGGATCATCGCTTGACCAAGTGGTTCATGACAACTAGCCACCAGGGGCGCAAGAAGCGTGTTGGAAAAAAGAAGACGCAGAATAACTCCCCATAAATTAAGAAGGATGAAGCGTGAAGCTGCCAGGAAGCCATCAGCCACCAGTTGTTCCATATTTCAGAGCTGCAGGATGTCTGGAGTGCCGAGAAGCACAAGGTGCTCAATCCTCAGGGACCTGGCCAAGGTAAGGAAAGCTGAAAAAGGCCACCTTTGAACAAGACACACGAGACAAAATGTCAAGATTGGGCCAAGAAATCTCTGCAGACTGATTCCTCCAAGGAGTTTGGGTCTGATGGAATGAGAGAGAGTCTAGATGGGCCAGATGGATGGATGGGCACCAGGCTGGATCAGTAAAGGGCAGCAAGTTCCTTATCCACTCAGACGCCAGCAAGGTGGAGGTGGGGTAATGCTATGGGCTGCTATCATCAAAGATGAATTTCTGGGATCTTTTCGGGTTGATGATGGAGCCAAGATCAACTCCCAGACCTACTGCCAGTTTCTGGAAGACACCTTCAAACAGTGGCACAAGAAGAAGACGCCATCATTCAAGAGAAACATGATATTCATGCAGGACACTCTGCACACGCATCTAAAAGGAGAAAAAATAATGACATGGCCGCCTTGATCACCTGATCTGGACCCCATGGAGAACCTGTGGTCCTTCATGAAAGGTGAGATCTACAGGGAGGGAAAACAGGGAGGCTGTGGTGGCTGCTGCACGCAATGAGGATCGCAAACAGATCAAGACACTGACAGTATCTATGGATGGAAGGATTTAGAGCGCCATGGGGAAGAAAGGTGGCGATATTCGCCACTGATTTGTTTTCTTTTTGTTTTGTTTTTTAATGTTGCAAATGTTCATTTCTGAATTTTGAGTTTTTATAATGGTTTACCTGGTGAAAATAAACAAGTTAGGTGGGAATATGTTTGTTTTTTATTACATTTCCTAATAATTCTGCACAGTAATATTAATCTGCACACACAGACATCATCATAAAATGGCCAAATCTAAAAAACAAACAAACAGCACATCAACTTCCAAAAATATGAAACTTTGATATTAAGGAGTCTTTTTGGTTGATTGGGAACACAATTGTGGCCTAATAATAAAAATAATCCTCAAAAATACAACTTGCCTAATAATTCTGCACACAGTGTATGTGTGTGTTAGGTCAGTTTTCTTTGCTTTTTGCTTTGTTTGTTTGTTCAGTTAAAAGTTAAGTATTATTAAATTCAGTTGACCTCTTTTATGTGCCGACTGATTTTTTTTGTTAATTTTTTGGGGGGTCAATAAAACCCAGATTTTTAAAATGACCTCCTGTGTCTCTTTTTGCTTGGTCCCTGACACACACACACACACACACACACACACACACACACACACACACGCATGTTGTTTCAAACTGTCCTTGTTGAAATTGGACTTTGTTGGGTTAGATTTTGTCCCAGTTTAGTCCGATAATAGATGTTGAAAAGATTTTCCAGCGATTTGAAAGTTACTGTTTTTTACCTTTCACTTTTAAAGCAAATGTAGATGTCGTTTAGATGTAAATCATGTCAAATTTTCAATATCTTTTTAGCCAATCTTTGCTCATTGGGTATAGGTCCAGATACCGAGATACAGATTAGAATTGATAAGAGAATTCAGTCAGGTTGTACAGTCCGATTAGTAAAGTAAAACCACCTGAATGCATCAAACCACTGCCTTGCAGGAAACAATCTTCCTGAATGAGCTTGCATTTTATTGTTGATTCTACTGTATTTATTTATTTTTTTTTGTTGACTCTGAAATCCTTCACATATATCAAACATACATACAGAGGGTAAAATAAGTATTGAACATGCCACCATTTTTCTCAGTAACTATATTTCTAGGGGTTCTATTGACATGACATTATCACAAGATGTTGATAACAATCCATGCAAAGAAACAAAGAAATTAAACCATAGATGTCCAGAAATTAAGTTATGTGTAATAATGTAGAATGACACAGGGAAAAAGTATTGAACACATGAAGAGAGGCATGGAAAGCAAGACGGCAGCAGAAATCTCTCAGTAATTAGAAAGCAATCCTGCCCCTTGTCAGTGCAAATGAATATCAGCTGGTTCAATCCCAATGATGGCCTTCAAAGAGGTGTTTCTGGTATTACACAAGAAACATCTCATGATGGGTAAAAGTAAAGAGCTTTCTCAAGACCATCGCAAAGTTAATGATGATGTTGGTTACAGAAGGATTTCTAAACTTCTGAATGTTCCAGTGAGCATTAATGGAACCATAATCTAGAAGAGGAAAGAACATCATTTCACCATAAACTGACCATGAGCAGGTGCTCCTCGCATGATCTCTGGCAGTGTAGTGAAAAGAATGAGCAGAAGAGTTGTCCAAGAGGAATTAGCAACTACCAAGTATTAAATTAAATAATTTTTAGTAGGTAAGTTCAATACTTTTTCCCTGTGTCATTCTACATTATTACACATAACTTAATTTCTGGACATCTATGGTCCACATTATTATGTCAAGCCAAGAATGCCACTATTCGCATGTAATTACCATGTTAAGATTGAAATTAACCTGCTAAAAACGGCATTTTTTCTGAAATTTCTGCGCTTTTTTTCGCCCTCTTTTAACATCAAGCGCCCCTTTTTACGTCCGTCATGTACCGCAAGACGCGCGTTCTTAACACGCATATTGACGGGTCAAAACACGCGTTTTTGACACACGTTCTTACCGAGACAACGCATGTTTTCTTGCGGGGTCATCATGACGGATGTAAACATACAGAAAACAAGTCAGACAGACACATTTTCTGGAAGAAAAGTGGCCCCTTTATTGTCATTTTATTAGCACATTGTAAAAAGTTTTTACATGAAAGAATGCATGACGATGGATGAAAAACAACAGTGAAGTAGGCTACATTTATGATTATATTCTCAGAAAAACAAACATACTTCTAAACGGGCTTGGTTAGAGACAAGAGAGAATATAAAGGGAAAAATCCGACTGCCAGTGCCAGATTCGAACCTGTAATGAAGCAAAAAGTTTGTATTGCATGCGGTCACTTTAGCCACTACGCCGCTCCTCAGTTGGAACCACTGCTGAACTGTCCTACTAATACCTGCAAAGCACAAAACATTAGTTAGCGATGCATGTCTACGCATGTCAAGGCTTTGTGAAAAGACAGTGCAGTGAACTTTGGCAACACTGCCACACAGAGGTCTGTGCAGAGTTTTCCACAAAGCAGATCTGTGCTGAACTTTCTTGGTCTGGCGGTCTTGATCTGCAATTGGATGCAACCGGGTTAAATACATTGGCTGTTGGAAAAGAAGGAAGGACATTATTATCATATTAGGAAAACGCACATATTTGACCCAAGTTGTCTTGGTAAGAAGTTCTGACCCGTCAAAACACGCGTACCATCATGACGGACGTAAAAAGCTGCGCTTGCTGTTAAAAGACGGCGAAAAAACTTTCGGAAAAACTGGCGTTTTTTGCGGGTTAATTTTAATCTTAACATGGTAATTAGATGAGAATCATGGCATTCTTGGTTTGCCATACATTATTACCCATAACTTAATTTCTGGAATTCTAAAAACCAAACATAGAAAAGCAGCTTTTCGTTTATATATTGACGTTATTGATCTCACAGTTGAAAAATCTACTCGTTACATCAGCTAAAAATAGTCAAAGAAGAGGAATGTGCCAAAGGAAG